CATCAATTATGTTCAATCCCTTCAACGACAAGTAGAGGTATGTTACAAACAAATCTTCTTAATCTCTCTGTCGTTATGTATGTTCAGTCTCTAACATCTTCCATGCTCAATGTAAACAGTTCCTATCCATGAAATTAGCCACTGTTAATTCTACGCTGGACTTCAACGTCAACAATCTCATCGCCAAAGAAGTAAGTCAGACAGATAAAAAAAATCTAGTGCCAAGTTTTATGAGAAATCCCATGTTTCTAAAGCTAGTTTCTTGCACTCAAACAGGTTTTTCCTGCATGCACGGCTAGTTTTCCGGCAATTGGAATGTCATCAGAGATGACAAATCCAACCTATCTTCAGTTCAATTTAGCACAACAAGCAGTTTCATGTTGTGGACTGGACATGGGAACAATCTCTACAGATACGGGGCTCCGGAGAACCATTAGCGCTCCTGTATCAGTCCCTGAAGCATTCATTGATTCATCCTGCATCCCTGTAATGCAGCAAATCCAGCCTCCTGCACCATGGGATGCTGAATTACAAAATCTTTATACTATGGCATTTGACCAGGGAAGATCAACACCATTCCCATCTCAGCCATTTACAGGTATTATCTCAGTTCATCTTCCACTTCTCTCAGTCAATTGTTTTTCAAGATAATTAAGAACAGTGATAGAGACCTAAGGACTGTCCCACGCGCCCAGCTTTCAATCTTTAATGATAAGAGATGTAGATCTTTTTTCAATGACCACAATATTCCCACGATTGTTCCTTTACAATTAAAGGGGGCTGCAGATTTTGACTCTATATGAAGAACACCTATGGCCATAGATCGGCTACATAAAGTTCATATAAAATATGATAAAGACTTGAGAAAAAGCAAACTGCCGGGACCCTTGGTTTATCGTTTATGAACTAACAATTCGATGCTTTGGTCATGGTTAAAGGAAAAGGAAAGTTAAACTGTTGCTTCCCTACAATTGACCATTACTATTAAGTATTGAACTGACTATGCTTAATTTGATCCATGCAAGCAGGTTGCATTGAACCCAGCAACCAAAAAATGGAGAGCTGAATCAGACACCATTCAGAAGTCGCAATTTATTGATGAATTATTCCTAATGAATTTGATCCAAGATTCTTTTTTTCCTACGCTAAAGTTCATAACATGTATATTTGTGTATGTATTGTATACTAGAAAGGAAGTATGAATAAGAGATACTTATTAACCCCATTCTTTTGTTGCTTGAATTGTATGAAATCACAAAACAAAAGGGTATGAAATTGTGCACGGGATGCAACGTAAGGTTGATGGATAGGGATCGAGGGATATGCAAGTTTAAGGGTAAATCCGTAAATGAAGCTTTTAGCATAGGTGGGGCAAAGAGGTTTGAGATGGAGAAATCCATGAATCAATTATTGCTTTTGTGAAAAAAATGCAGATAAAGATGCTAACTTTGTAATTTTTTTTTATTTAAAGATGTAGACTTTGTTAATTTTTAGTTATAATGATAAACTTTTAACTTTTTTTTATTTAAAAACGTCAATGTTGTTGTTGTTGTTTTTTTTTTTTTTAATAATATTAATTTTACATTAATTATGTTAGTGTTACCATCTAATTAATTTTAAAATAAAAAAAATACAATTAATATTCTTTAATGGAAAAAATTAAAAGTTTACGTCATTAATTAGAAATTGATAAAATTTACATTCTTAAATAAAAAAAATTATAAAATTAGTATCTTTATCTGCATCTTTTCTCTTATTTTTGCAGAATTTGTAACCATAATAAACACTATTTTTAGAGAAGTATCGAAAGACAAGTAAACCAAAGCACCGGATGCAGGACGCACCACAAGATTTGTAATGATGAAGAAATGCATAGAATTATCAATTGGCACAAGTTGTTCCTCTGTTGGATGAACCTGAGTGACCAACTTGGAGCACTTGAACCTAATGGTGGACCATTTTGGTTCCCTTTTGATACATTAAAAATATATACTTTGACAAAGACACTGATAATTACAAAATATAATGAAAAATAAGGGGCAGAAACAGTCTGCAGGGCAAATGTGATAATGCAAAGAAATGAGAAATTATGATCTTTCTCATCTGGCAAATTTTATAATGTAATACAAGGAGGCAATCATCAGAAAGTTATCTCTCTCATTTTTTCCTACTTTTTTTTTTTTTTTTTTTTTTTTTTTTTTTTTTTTTCACTGATCAATGTTTGATAAGATTGGGAAGATGGAGCTT